ACCACTCGATGAATCGTCACGATAATTTTCACTTCCTCCCTCTCTCCTCTCACTTTTCTTTTTTCACACCTGAACAAACCCGTAAGAATGGACTTTTATCGCGCTAACACGCGGCCATCTCGCGCGCACTCGCCACCCGTTCTCCCTAACTCAGCAGAATCTCGAAGCAGCTGTGTTTCGCGCCACCAGCGGAGGGCACCGAGAGAGAGAGAGAGAGAAACGTATCCTTCTCTCCCTTCAGACTCCAGCGGAAGAAACCAGATCTAGGGAGGAGAGCGGCGCGATCGTTGGAGAGAACCTCTGCCTCTCGGTTCTCGGACGGGGCAACACTCCGCGCAGTAGGACGCTCCGAGGGATCGCGGGTTTATCCCGTTTATATTATCCTCTCCAGCGTGTTGGATGGACGGGAGAGAGGATTTTTCGAAACTCGAACTTGTCTCGAAAGTTGTCGACGGGCAGAACAGCAGCCGCGGTTTCGCCGTCCGTCTGACGCCGTTACGCAACGCTTCTATAAGCATCCGTGATCCGCTCGGAATGTGGCCCTCTCTCGCTCCATCTCTCCCTCCGCCGCGCAGTCTGTCTTTCTCTCTCTCTCTCTCTCTCTTTCTCTCTCTCCCTCCGCCTCTATCCTCTCGGTCTTCTGTGCTTGCGCCTCCGTTCCTCTCGGCCAGTCGTTGAAACGTACGCGCGAAAGCTCGTCCGATAGAGGAGCGCGCAACGCTCGGCCCTCTGCTTCCTCTAGGCCCCTGTCCGTCCCTCCTGTCGGTCGGCGAAGAAGAAGAAGAAGAAGAAGAAGAAGAAGAAGAAGAAGAAGAACGAGAAGAAGAGGAAGAAGAAGAGGAAAAAGAAGAAGGAACACCGGTATTCTCCCTGTTTCCCTGGTCCTCCTACGTGCGAACACGGCCAGTGAATCAGCCCGCCTCTTCCTACATGCGGCCTCTCGTCGGTCTTAAAATATTCACTAGACTTCGCGACGAGTATCCGCGGGGGATATTAGACCGATTCTCTTAGTCCTCTCTTCCCTTCTTCTTCTTCTTCTTCTTCTTCTTCTTCTCTATCGAGATGGACATCTATTCGCTTTTCGCTTCGAGAAACAAAGAAAGAAAGAAAGAAAGAACGGAAAAGTACTAAGGTAGCTACGTTTCTTCCCGTCTCTTTCGAGGGGAAATCATCGGTAACGTGCGACGATGACGACGACCACGACGACGACGACGATTGTGGGGACGATCGTCATCGTGACGATCGAGGGTGGACCGCGACGCGTCGACCGGATGCCTTGGCTAGTAGACACGGATTCACCCGCCCCACCAACTCCGCCTGTCCCCGCTCTAGCAACGCTAGAGCGGCCGCTCGTGCTCGAGCTCTAGCCTCGAGCTTCTCGGCTAGCTGGCTAGGAGCTTCTATTTTTACCATGGGGTGGCGAATTGTTCCCCACGAGGCGGCAGCTCGAGCGGGCCACAGAGGTTCGCCAATGCGACCGGGTTCAAACCGTTTATAAATAGTAGGAGTTTCTCGCGCCGCCGCCACTCGCGGAAAATCGGCGACGATTTGACGGAACGCAAGTCGATTCGATCGTCTTCGATTCTGGATGCAAGTAATCTTTTTTCTCTTCTTCTTCTTTCTATTTCGTTCGATTAAGAGGATTGCTCTTCATTTTCTAGAGAAATGGTTCGTCGTTTTCTTTGAATTCTCGTGAACGGAAAATTTGGGAAGAGATTCTTCTCGATTGGGTCGAGGGAATGATTTATGGGTTTTGGATCCGTTTGCGTGATACATATCGAGGCGATCGATTAACGCGTGTAACGTAAAAATTAACGATAATATTTAGAAATAGAATTTTCTCGGTAATGCGATCACTGAATCGAGATCCGTGGATAATTTTATTGACTCCGTTTGTGTATAATTCGCATTATGCATACACATATATATATATATATATCGAAGAAGAACGAATCGAAAGAAAACAAGACTGGGAATAAAGACTATAATTGTGTTAAGATATCACGGGGTGAGTGTTCATTCAGATTTGCACGATTACTAATTCGTACGTGGGAGAAGTTACGTGTTTGGAACGTTTGGATGAGTCAATGCTGAATGAACGCGTAAGGAGAAATATCAATAATTACACCTACATGCTTATTCATCGGAATATATCGTTCCAAACGTAACGAAATTCGGGAAAAATTTGATCGAAATGATAGCAATTAGACCCGTTAGAACGAAGAAAAAGAAGAAGTCGATTTTTCCGTTCATCCCTCGAAAAGATTTCGATATATTACATAGACTTACAGATAACGGATAAAAGAAGGAAGAAGAGAACAATTGGAGAGAAAGACTTTCCAGTAAAAGAATACGACAAAGTAGTCTACTAGAATGTTGAATCCAAACGATGGATCTCGATCGATCGAGGAAAAGCCACCAACTATACCCACCACGTATATATATATATATA